CACTGCTGATGTGTTCACCAAGGCGCTTCAGCCTTGTGATCATCAGCGTTTCTGTACTGTTCTAGGCCTTGTGCCTACTGTCCCTCACTTGCTCACTTCTTGACTCTGCTTGTACTGTGATCTCTATATATATACCTGCATGCTTACACTTGCTAGGTTGTGATCACTGTACCTCTTGTTATATTATCAACCTGCATGTGAACTGGTCTTGTGACCGCTTGCTTGTGCTCAGAATTTGTGTGGTATCCTTGAGATCCACCCTGAGCTTGTTTTGCTTTGCTTTGCTTTGACTGGTCTTGTGACCCCTTGCTCTCCCCCACTTAGCCTATGGGGGTGTGTCAAACATTATATATGTTACAGCTATGTAGGCTACAGTGGGTTAGCCTTTAGGGGGTACAATACTCTAGGGTTTCCTACTTGTACTCTCAATGTTCCTAGTTCAACCACTTCTCATTTCTGACACTTTTTACAGTAAATATTTTCATACAGTGTATAAATATGATCCAACGCCAACACAGAAATTTCAGGGTGTACACTAGCTGTTAACAGGTATACATTTTCCACTCTTAATATATTCTTCAGAGCACAACAATTAGCTATAAACGTATATGTTTCACATTCAATGTTCTTACAACAGGTGTACACATATTAGAATTTTAACCCTCAATGTTCGAGGCCTTGAGCCAACAGGACACAAGTGCTCTGTTACAGGCCTCCACCATTGGTCCCGAGGCTGAGATGAAATTCTAAGCTGCCAACCTGGCACCTCAACGAATCCTGCAATTTCCGAAGCTGCCAACATCGTTGCCCAAGCAATTCGGGGAGTTCCGAAGCTGCTTGGGCTCTTGTCATTTCGACGCGACCCGTCGAAGGTATGTTTCCCCACTCAGCTCAGATTGTTACTTCGAATATACCCCCCGGAGACATACCTTTCGGGGCCCCCCATTTTTGGGATGTTGAAGCCTCCTTGCGATAATCCTTTCCATGTTCACGTGCAAGGCTCCTTCCCACGTGAAGACGAGTCAGCTTCGGGCATGATAACGCCAGGTGGTCGAGGAAAGCATCGTTGAGCGCCTCGACGCCGTTGTCGCTAATATGCAGGTGGGTGAGATTCGGGTAACACGCGACTGCGGCTGAGAGATCTTCCCAGGATACCACCTTCTTCAACGAGTAGCGCGGTCACGCGAAGCTTCGCCAGACAGTGCCAACGACCGCAGACGGACGTGATGAAGAGATTCTGAGCCACATCTGAGTCTGGAGGAGGGGCTGGTACTGGCGTCTTGTCTATCTCATCTGATTCCTTCACATAGTCTTTGCATGATGCGGCAGGTTGCTTGTAGGAGCGTTTGATGATCCTAAAAAGCAGGTCGTCAGGGTTTAGGGAGTGAGCCTCACAGGTTTGGGGCAACTTTTCAAATTTCAATTGAACTCTTCCTTTCAAATGTAATACTACTTTGAGTCTCCATCTAAATAAGGGTGACAAAATCAACAATTTTGATTTCCACAGCAGAAGCTACGATGTTCCCGCCGTTCCAGGGTTCCCGTTCCAGCAAGTGAGCAGAGGGATGCCATCCCAGAGCTTTGGTGCCGTGTAGGCGTGGAAGAGCTTGTTCTTGGAAGGAAGCGGGGCTGTTGCGAAAATTGACAGCGTTTCCAACAGAAACGAATTTCGTGACAATTGATTCGTAGGGTTCTGCGAACAATTTCGCAGAACCTCCGCAAGCCATCCAACAGCTAAGGTTCAATTTGAGTTGCAGGACAGCCGATTGCACCACACAACACTGCGTTTTACAAAGCTCCCTTCAAAACTTGCCATGTCGGAAATTGTAGGATTGATGCTGATCTGCACGGAAGGGAGTAAGGACGCGCACGTATCATCTCACCTCTTCGTTACTCATTCTCGTCCTCGCGTACAGCAACTATCGCGATGCTATTCTTCGACGAGTACTCTCAATGCCAGGAAAAGGTGCGCTTCCCCTTGCTTTGACGACAAAGTCCATTTTGACTGATCGGAGTGCTTGGCTACAAGAGAGCGAGTCCACGCTCATGCTTAATTAGTGTAACACTCCTAAAGTTGCTGACGTTGCCGATCCTGCGCGTATATTCCACGCTGATCAGAAATTAATACTGTCCTATCCTTGGCCGATCAGATGATTTGGATGCGGAACAAGTGATCGTCGAAGTTCACAGCAGCGAGCGGTTAGCGCGGAGCTCAAGGGCTGCACTGAATCCGTCCTCCATTTTGAGCGAGATTTGAATCCCAGGAATTAAAGCCTATCTTCAGCTTCAGGAGAGCGACTCGACAGACAGAACCACGGATTCAAGAGGCGGATCGTGCGAGTGGGTGAGTGAGGATGATGCGTCTTCTGCTAGTAATGGCGGCTCGGCGTCCGAGAGTGAAGCCGCAGGTTGCGCGAAATCCGATCAACTACGCGACGCTGGCGAGATAAGCGCCCTTGTGTGCGCAAGCACACCAGGAGAGGGATGAGGCGAAAGAGGAGAGGAGAAGGAACGGCGGAGGCAGCAGGCTCTGCGGCAGGCGGCGAGACGGGCGGGGACACCGTCAAGCAGCGGATTTTGCAGTGAAGGCGGAAGAAGGGTCTTTTGCTACTGTGGCGGCTTGGCGACCAAGATTGAAGCTGCAGGTTGCGCGAAATCTGATCAGTTACGAACTTACGAAAGGTTGGCAGGCAGCGAGACGGTCGGGGAAATGGCCAAGCAGCGCAAGCGGCGTTGGTGGCGGCGGGGAGAGCGAGAGGAGAGGGCGGTGACCGTTGGGCTGCTGATGGGGCTGGCGGAGGTTCCAGAGGATGCGATTGGGGCTACCGATGGGTGGCAGGGGGCGATTGAATAGCCGGAGATAACCAAGGTGAGAGTTGGTGCGGGATGGGGAAGTTGCGTGTAGGAATCGGACAGCGGATATTTCTCAAGACGATGGTGGGAAGGGGACAGTTGAATAGCTGGATGTCGCTGAGTATCAATTTTCATTCACTGAGGAGTCGTTGCGAGTGGGTGTGGGATGGCTGTGAGAGAGTGAGTGGAGGGAGCTGATGGGCAGCCAAGGTGAGACTCATTCATTCCCCATCCCCCCTCCAACTACCTCCACCTCCCCTCCCAATTCCTGATTCTCTCTTCCTACCCAGCCCCTATTTGCATCTCACTGCCCATTGAAATCCTGCACTTACGGTGGTGGGGCCGCACTGCTCTCACTCAGCCACTGTCCGTTCCTTTCCCCTTCCTTCCCACCTCCCTTCACCCTTCCCCCATCTCCCCACCAGCTCTGCACCGCACCTGCTTCTCCTGCACCGGTTTCTGCCCCTGCAACACGAGCGCACCGTTCAGGGGAATCCTGCGGGCTGCTGAGGCTGCGCACTATTCCGCACTGTTGCGCACTGTTCGTAGAGTGGCGTGACGGGGAACCTGCACACTGTGCACTCTTTGTCAAAGCTGCACCTCACCTTCCCTTCAGCACCCCGTACCCCACCTTCCCCTCCGCCTCCACCCCTCCTTCCACCAGCTCCTCCCCGCACCTTCTTCCCCAAAATGGAATTCTGCCCCACCGACTCCCGCCCCTACAGCACTGTCTCCCTCGTCCCTCTCATAGCCACTGTGCTGCTCTCCTCTTCTTCCCCCCACCCCCCCCACGCCCCCCCTCCCCCCTTTTCACACGTGCTTCCCACACCCACTTGTGCCCCACAGCTGCACGCTCAGGGTCAAATCAAATACTCGCACCCCTACGGCTCGAGCGCACTGCTCCACCCCACAGCAGCTCCATCAAGGCTGCTGATGCGGCGGAGGTCGGCGTATTCTGTAATGCATATCTCACAAATCATTTCCCGCATAAGGCACCGTATCTAAATACGGTAATATGGTTACAAAACCTCTGAATCCATTTCTCAATGTGCGGAATTCGGGATTCAGGACCGTTCACACATGACCATGCATCTGTCATCATACCGTACAAGCAGGACGATCGTCGTAGGTTTCTTGCTGCCCATCCATTCAATTACCACACCATACGAGCATACATGATGGTGCATCACCTGAACTGTTTCATGCCTGGTTGTAGCCTTGGAAAGCGGCTGACTGTTGCCAGCCACAAAAATATCTTGGAATTTCACATCTGCAAACCATAGTTGGAGGGAGGGGAGAGAGGGGATGGATGGATGGAGAAGGTACCATGCAATATCAGCTGGTGCAACTTGGTGAGTTGAGCATGATGTGGCTCGTTCATCATTGAACCAATTTGCAGTACATGATAGATAGGAGGTGATGCTGTCCTCTTGGCAGCAATCAATAGACTCTCCCAGGTGCCTAATGTCAGCATGCAGACGGAAAGAGTTGGTTGGTTGGCTGTGGGCACCCCTGATCCGATGCTACCGGCACGAATACAGTACCGTAGTTTTGCTACATTTCTAAATACCTCGAACCATTTTGACTATGCACCCTGCAGAAAATGGAAGTGAAGGCACACTTTGAAAAAATCCAAGTCACAAACAGTGGCACTACAAGGGCCTCAGATTCGTTTTGGCCTAGGCTGAAGAATCAGAGTTGGTAGAAAACGTTTTCCTGAAAATCAGAAAAATTAGCCATTTTATGCCATTTTACATTACAAAGTTAACAAAATGCATGTTTTTTTCTCAACAAATTGCTGAAAAATCAGCCTCAGTTCCAATGTCTGAAATCTCAGCCTTTTTTACCTAAATCAGCCTTTTTTCGCTGACTTCTGAGGCCAACACTTTTAAAGATCAGAGAGCGCACAACAAGTCCCAAAAACACCCAATCCACTGATTTCCTTCATATCATACAATCCCTGGCACCTCCTTCACTCGCAGGCCTGGATTTCAAGATGCCTTCCCTCACAAGCATCAGCCGGCCAGTACTGAGACACCACAAGCAAGCAGCCTCTGGGGTACTGCAGCACCTTCAACCAGCGCCTTCAACCAGGCCAAGTCCTCTGAGAGACTCCAGCTGCAGGCAACCAGCCAAGTCGAGGCTTCTCAATCCAGTAGCACAAATTCTTCAGGAACGGAGGATAGTAAGGTGCTACGCAGGGACAGACGGTGCAGCTGGGTGAGGAAGTCCGGGAGGTGCTGCAAGGCCTTGCAGCGAATCAGCTCCAGTTTGCGCAGCCGAGACAAGCAGCTCATGCCCTGAAGTAGCGCCAGTAGCTGAGGTGCGTTGATCTTCAACGACATCAGCGAGCTCAGCTCCCATATGCATTCTGGCAGCTCCTCCGGTGACCACGAAAGCAGCTCCAGCTGCTGCAGGTCCGGCAACGCTGCTGCCATGTTTTCTGGGAGGCTGCAGATTCCTGGCGCCTGTATGAGCAAGCTGCGCAGGCGAGGGAGGCGAACCAAGGCCAGGGTAACTGGGAGCTCCCGGATGTCACCTTTCACGCGCATCTCCAGCTGCTCCAGCTCCTGCAGACACAACACCCTGCCGCTCACTGCAGGCCCGCAGCACACCCCAACCCGGGTAAGCTTCAGCACCCTCAGCTGCGTCAAGTGGCCGATGTCCACCTCATGGGACGAGCCTTCCCTGAAGGGCCCCAAGCAGAGGGTTTCAAGTGAGGGTGGCAGACCGGCAGGGAGGCTACTCAGCTGCTCACAATACGTCAGCTCCAGTGTCGTAAGCCCCACGAGCATATCTAGCCTCGAGGGTAGTTCTACAAGTGCGTGGAAGGAGGTGATCACCAATGTTTGAAGCCTAGTAAGCTGAAAGAGTGACATGGGAAGCGTGCAGACTGAACTATTATGGATCTTCAACTCCCGAAGGCTGCTCAACTCCCCCACGGCTTCCGGCAGCGGGATGTAGCGATCCATCTGAAGGCTCGTCAAGGAAAGCAGCTTCGTGAATGAAGCAGGAAAAGACTGTCTGTAGCAGAGAAACCTGAGAGACTTGAGACTTACAAGGGCCCCTACATCGTCTGGCAAGGGAAAGACACATTCGGTGATGCAGAGGGCCTTGAGAGCTGTGAGGCGGCTGAAACCTGCTGGGAGCTGGCGAAGCTCATCGCATCCAGCTAGAAAGAGTGCCTCGAGTGACGTGAGATCGCAGAAGGAAGGAGGGAGTCCCCAGAGAGGCACGAACTCCAGCACCAGCAGTTTGAGGGCAGGCAGGTCGCCGAAGCTGTCAGGTAAGGTAAGAAGACCGCAATCATAGAATATAAGGGTTTCCAAACGGCTAAGGGAAGCAAAGTTTTCAGGCAGGTGGACGAGAGAACTACACTTGCGAAATGTCAGCTTGCGAAGGCTCGGCAGTAAGTAATCAATGTGGTTAGGAAGGTCCGTGAGGCCACTGCCGTTGGTAATGAGCAGCTCCTCTAGTGCGACGAAGGCCGATGCTGATGGGAGGATGATGGTGTCGAAAGGAGGAGAAGCAACTGCAAACGTGAGCGACTTGATGTAAGACGGCAGCACTATGCTTGCAGTACCCGCGGAGGGCTGATGGCTCTCGTATGGGGCGAAGGTGGTTAGATGAGCGAGTCTTGGGAGGCGAAGAAGGGTGGCTAGGTCCAGAAGGTTCCAGGGAAAGGTGATGCAAATGGTGGTAAGGGCTGTGAGGTTTGCAAATTCGGGATTCTCCAAGGCCGATGCGTTGTCAAGAACAAGAGTGCGAAGATGCCTCATCTGAAAGAACGAACTCGGCAACTTTGTTGCTTCATGGGGGCAGAAGAGGGAAAGCTCTTCCAGCAGAGGGAGCTGTATGAAGAAGCGATTCAAGCCTTCCGTGGATATTGGGTGGTTCTCCTTCCTGCAATAAGGCTCATATCCGTCATCCTCCTGGTCGTGCGCCGCAAAGCTCCTTCCCACGTGGAGAGTCGTCAGCTTCGGGCATGACTCAGCGAGATGTTCAAGGAACGCGTCGTTGAGCGTCTCAACGCTATTGTCGCTCAGATGCAGATGGGTGAGGTTGGGGAAGCGTGCGACGGCGACTGAGAGATGGTCAAGGGACACGACGGCGTCTTCTTTTACGAGCAGAGTGGTCACGTTACGCTTCACCACACGACGCCAACGACCACAAACTGATGCAATGTGGAGATTCTGAGCCGCGTCTGCTACGGGAGGCGGGATTGGTATCGGCGTCTTGAATACCAGACCCGCATGAGATCTACTTTCATCATCATCATCAAGGCACCGATACAAGAAGGGCGACCACAAGCTACCAATGTCGCATGATTCGGGTTGCTTAAAACAGCGCCTAAGGATCGCGAAGAGAAGCTCGTCTGGAAGACTATTGATGTTGGTGAGTGACTCCATCCCGAAAAAGTAGGGTCTGTGAAATTAGCAAATGATGGGACGGCTAATACTCAAGTAGAGAGTCGGCACTAGTTACGGAGTAGGTCCAGATCTGCTCATGAGTGAAATAATGCGAGCAGATGGGCAAGAGGAGGGCGGACAAGGCTGACATTGGAAGGGTGGACGACGTGTTCGCGATTGGAAGTGGCGTTCTAAAAACGACACTTGCAATTGAGTGACGCAGTAACGGCGCAGGTGAGACCTGCGTGGAACGGTGAACCCTTGAACAGCGTTCGATCCCATTCCGCCAATCCACGAGTGACTGGATGGAGAACCCAAGGCGAGAAACTTCAGCCTCGGCTTTCTCCAAGTGAGTTTCATCACCTTCGCCAAGACTTCGCTCGATTCGTTTCTGGTGTGGCGAGAATTGTTTTTTGTAACCCTTTGGGGGGAAGTCGTCCACTCGTACAGGGTCGCACAAAAACGTTGAACTTGGGGTTCAATTCCGGGTGCACTTGGTTCCATGATGAGTGTACTCGCCATTTCGTTCAAGCGAAAAATGGACGAGCTCCTTGTTCCATCTTATAGCTCAGCAGGAAGTCGTTGCTACGGCTTGCTCACAACCATCTCAGTAACTCTCGCACGCGACACGGAGTTCTTTGTGCGTACGACATAAGCGAGATTGAATCGGCGGCATTGTCATCGTCGTCATCTACACGCTTCTGTAGTAGTACCGCATCACCGCTCCGCCCTTATTAGTAGCGACACTGAATTCCGGCGCTGTGGCGATTACTCTCTAGCAGCGTGAACCAATGGCGATTAAAGCCGCGGTGCAACTTCTTAGGAACAGTAGCAGGACAAAAACTACTTGTGCGTAATTGGACTTTTATTGGTCGAAAAAACTCGAGTTTCGCAACAAGACAAACCTCTCGCCTGTGAACTGCCTGGGTCAACCTCTTCCAAGCTATAATACTTTGAAGTTGAACTTGGTAGTTGCACCGCGGCTTTAACTCGAGATGCTTCTTCCGCGCACAGCTTCTCACAAGCAGCAACAAAATCTGCCAATTTTCGGAGTCGCTCCGGATCCCGAATCCCTAGATTCGGAATCGCGAATCCGGGTTTGCTCTCACACACGTAGTCTCCCTCTTTCCGTTTCTCGTCCTCCACGGTTCCTTCAGTTTTCGATGCGGCTGCCGGTTGCGATCCCTTGCTGCGGTAAGAAAATAATTCGGGTGAACATGGTGATTCCTGCCATGACGCTTTGGTCCATCGCAAAAAAACGGGCTGTCAGTAGTTACCGAAAAGATTCCGTGCAGTCTCCCGAGAGTTTGTTGAACGAGGCATACCCAATTGACAGTAAAAAACATACCCAATTGACACTTCGAAACGGGAGAGGTTTGGCGGACAAATCGTGACCGCACATCTCAATCAGAACAAAAGCTACCTTCCTGTAACTTTGAATGTGAACTCCCTGCGCCTCGCATACGTGTAACGCTCGTATTTGATGTGCCTGATCCACCAGAAGCTACCCTCCCGTAACTTTGAATGTTTTGCCTCTTCACCTCGCATACGTGTAACGCGCGTGTTGGCAGTGTAAGTTCATGAGCTCGCAATTCAACTGGTGGATTTCGCCAGATGTCAACAGGCACAAGATTCGTATTGGTGGCTGAGAGGCAATTCCGATTGGGTAACGACATCGTGCTTACGAAACGGAATATTAGTTACTGGTTACTCCTTTGATAATTTGTTCTGACGATGCTTGATTCATACAAAATATGAAGAGATCATGTGTGACGGGTTACCACGTAACAGGTTACAAACAGAATCCAAAAAGTGTTACCGGTCCGCGAATTTGGGTTTAAATTTAAAGAATGAAATTGTCCAGACTAATGACTGTTCAACATCCAACACGAACCACAAATATTAGTTTGAAAGTTAATTTCATAATAGAGCATCACCCTTACTACACAGCTTGCATCAACTTCAAAACGTATAATATGCATTATCAAGACATGCAACCTATTCAGTTGCATAATAACTACTCGAGATAAGAGTTTCGATAGAATCAACAGGAGCTATCGGGAATAAACATCTTGATAAGGCGCTGCACAACAGTGACGATAACATTTAGTGAAATAACAAAGGAACAATGGCAGACTTACGTTCAGTCAGCGTCGTCACAATCGCTGAACAGATCATTGGCGACCTGCAAAACAACATCCAAGAAACAAACGACAAAAGTGCTGGTAAGTGACTAAACGACTTCCAGTTCTTACCAGAGCCACAACCGAAGGAGTAAGCTGGGAGATGCCCGCACCTTCCTGCCTGGCATGATGTCCACCTCGCTCCGTGAGGTTCGCAAACCTGAAAACGCACCAAAAAAAGACACAAGCAGAAGATACGAGACACGTTTAGATAGGTATGACTTTGAACTAACTTTGTCTTGTCGTCGCGAACAAACACCTAACCATATCAGACGAAAACGATGAACAAGAGAAAAACTACTTAAGAAGTGAACAAATAGGTGAAAGGCTTACAATAAGAGAGCGCGTTCGTACCTCGAGGAAAGTAAAGCATCGGGGTACGTGGAGACGGGAGAGCTGACTCAGGAGAGCAAGCCTCGAGTCGAGGAAACTAAAGCATCGAGGAAGGTGAAACCGGGTGAGCTGACTGACAAGAGCAGACACAACGACAGAGCAGAAGCAAGTGACTAACGAACGAAGGGATGTGGTGGAAAAATAGGCGTGCGAGGGAGGAAGATGGGAGACGGGGAACAGGGAAGATTTCTGGGGGTGTGACTCTCCAGGAAAGTGGGAGAGGGAGGCAGGGTGAGGTCGAGTTGGCCCGTCAGGGAACCAAAAAAACAAAACAAAAAGTCGGCGAGGAAAACTTTTAGCTGTCAACGATTGTGACAACAAATTACAAAATAGCTGGACAGCTCAATTTCGAGACGGGCAGAAAATAACTTTCGAAGTTCACAATTTGTCTGAACCACACACACCACAACTGCACCCACGCATCAGTTCACGCACCGCAAGGAATGTGATGTGCTGGAATCCGCTGGGCGCATCCAGCGTGGCTCCGATAACCTCACGTGGCATGAGTTGCGCCATCGCAGATGGCACAAAGTAGCCTGATTCGTTGAAATCAGATTCCCCCGTGTGTGTTGGTTGAGCTGAAAGGTTCGTTCAACTGCCAGCGCAGCTGGAAGTAGAATGAACCTACTTAGATGTGTGCTTCAGGGGTGTACAAGAATGCGCTGCTCGAACAATTGCACCGGCGAACCGCGCTGCTGCCAGCGCGGCTGTTTCTCGAACACCACCGCGCTGCTGTCAGCGCGTGACAAATACACCAGTATGGAAGTTGTAAAAGTTTGGTAGTTTCTGACTGTACACAGCATTCAAGCCGAAGACCAACCCACTAACTCTCCAATTTATTTCAAGTCCCACTTTCGAAAGTAAAAAGGAAACAAACAGATTGTCACAAAAGATAACAAATATGGCCAATAGCTGATCACGGGCAGCAACAAGCCTACGCATCGTGATGTGAAAATTTGAAAAGAAGAAGGAGGGTTGCACTAGCAAGAATGAGGATACAAATAGCAAACCCTAGAAGGGTTGTACTCGCTATAGAGCACCCCACTACAGGCTAGAGCATAATATTCTGACACACCCCCATAGCCAAAGTGGGGTGTAATCAGCAGAGCAAGCAAAGCAGTACAAGCTCAGGGTGGATCACAATGTCACCACACATTCTGAGCACAAGTTCAAGAAGCAATAGTTTAAAGTTCACAATTATGAGCAAAGCTAGAGGCTATCGCAGAGGGCAAGTGAGGAGGAGGAGAGACTGTGGGGGAGAGAAGATGGGAGGCGACTGCTGACGCTGCAGACACACAGACGAGCTGCTGGCTCAGTGGCTACCGGAACAACGCTCCGGACTACTGGGGTAACTGGCCCCGCGGCTAAAAGTAGCGGCAGACGAGCAACGGACCCACGGGCGACTGGCGACTACCGGAGATTGTAGCCTCCGGACTGCTGCTGCTGCTGACGACAAGACTGCTGCCTCCACTCGACCTCCCCCAAACAGTACCACCCCTCCTGACACACACCCGCTGCTACACCGCTAGCTCCACTCCCCCTTCACCCCCCCTTAGCACCACTCCAACGGCTCCAACAAGTCCACCCCCCCCTCAGCGGCAGCTGCAGCACAGGGAGACGGAGGAGGAGGAGGAGCAGGGAACGGCACACAGTAGTTTCACCCCCATACCCCTCACCCCCAAACCCTAATTCAGGAGAACGGGCTGTAGGAGGGGTGGGGCGCCAGCAGAAGCACGGGGGACAGCGGGGAGGGCAGGGGCAGCGAGGAAAGGGCCGCCCACGGGCCTGGCACAG